AAATAAATGAGGACATGTATTAGAAGTTAGAAATTACTCTTCTGGCAAAAGAAAGAAGAAATATGGGCAAGTACTTGGCAAGCCCTAACAGTATCATCTAAGCTTTAAGGTCTGGAAGCCTAAAGATAGAATTCTTTCAAATTATTATTTTTAAAGACTTTTTAATTTAGACACAGGGAAAGGAGGGAGAGACAGAGGGAGAGAAACATCAATGTGTGGTTGACTTTTGAGCACCCCCCACAAGGGACCCAGCCTGCAACCCAGGCATGTGCCCTGACTGGGAATTGAACCAGTGACGCTTTGGTTCACAGGCAGGTGCTCAATCCACTGAGCCACACCAGCCAGGGCTCAAATTATTATTTTAAAAATAGGTAGACATTTTGGGATTAAAAACATAAAATTATAGTGGAGTGAGTGCAGGCTGCGAACCAAAGTGTCGCAGGTTCGATTCCCAGTCAGGGTACATGCCTGGGTTGCAGGCCATGACCCCCAGCAACCGCACATTGATGTTTCTCTCTCTCTCTCTTTCTCCCTCCTTTCCCTCTCTAAAAATAAATAAATAAAATCTTTAAAAAAACCCATAAAATTATATTATATTCCCTTTTCCTCTAGAAAGCAGCCCCACTTACTTTTTATTGTTGGAAACATGTTTTCCAGATCCTTCATATGAGGGATCACTCATTAAATCAGTATTTTATTAATTTCAGGCCTGCTGTGAATAAACATAGGATATGGGAAACTTTGGGTCCCAGAATTATCGTTCTTTTCCAGAGTTTCAGCTAAATGTTGTCATCACTCTTAAACAAAGCTCAGAGATAAGTACATTGATGTATTTGGCTCACTAGACTTACCATTTATTTTGTCCTCTAAAAACACCAACAATCTATTTAAAACATATTATTTTAACTGTGTACTACAAGTTTTACATTATTGTTTGTTAACAATAGTAACTAGTTTTGTTCATTTTTATTTTGCTAATATAATAAGGATAATAATGGTAATGAATGAGGCCAAAATTAATGATAACTTAATAAGGAAAAGAAAATATTTATTAATGAATCAGTATTTTTGAGATCCCATTGCATGCAAAGTAGCATATTTAGAAATACATTTCATAATGCATCACTTATTTATATCTTTTTATTTTTTCCACTTTTTAAAGATCCATTTTATTGATACATACATTGCATACAATAAAATGCACCCATTTAAAGTATACAGTGTGATGAATTTTGACAAATGTGTACAGCAGTGTAAACATCAGCATAATCAATTATCAAAAATTCCTATCACATCCCAAAATTCAATCTCTCCCATTTCTGCTTCTGTCACCATAGTTCTGCCTTTTCTAGAATGTCATGTAAATTAAATACAGCAGCATGTGTTGTTTTGTGTCTGGCCTTTTCAGTCAACATAGTGTCTGTGATGTTCTCATACATTGCCATGGGTACCAACCATGTTTTTCTTTTTGTTGCTGAGTAGTATTCTATTATATGTGTATATCACAATTTAAATTTTTTCAATTACAGTTAACATTCAATATTATTTTGTATTAGTTTCAGATGTCTGGCATAGTGGTTAGACAAGCATATACTTTACAAAGTAATCCCCCAGTATTGCCAGTACCCGCCTGGCACCACACATAGTTATTACAATATTATTGACTATATTCCCTATGCTATGCTTTACATCCCCATGACTGTTTTGTATATATATATATCTTTTAAAACTATGATTATGCAAAATATTTGAAGACCCCTTTTATCTTAGCTGCCTACCAGCCCTTTTCTCATAAACACATAATATTTTCTTTTGGATTCTCTTTCTCAAACAGGTCAATGTTGGTGTCTTCCTGTATACTTTTTCATATTATCCCATATCATTTCCCCATGGTTACTAAATGGACATGCTGAAGCTCCTGTAAGTTTTCAGAGTGGTAGTAGGCATACTTAATACCCAGTGGAAATTAGAGTGCTCTGTGGAGAATTGTCTGGCAATGAACCTTCGTAGTCATTCAAAAATAATCTAAAAAGAGAAATAAGCCAACATAATTTTAGAAAAAAAAATAAACTAATAAAATGTCTAACTTCAACAAATTGTACAAAAGAAAAAACTTTACTAAGGAATAATTTATCAATTTTACCAAAATAGTATTTAATGTTAAATTCTATAGCAGTTATGTAGTGTGATGTGCTAAGAAAATATTTAGGTAAGAGGAACTAAATATATACAATTTTAATTAAATGGGAAATTGTAAGAGTTGTTGGAATGTAGTGGAAAATATCAAGCTTTCTTGTGTCATATGAGCAGTACAATTTAAATTCTATAGTATGACAAGAAGGTAGTATCTTTTAGGCTGAAATGATTGGAGAAGGCTTTTTTCAAAGAGGTGATACTTAACTGGGGCCTGAACAGTTTGGTAGACATTTGATAGGTGAAGATAAAAGAGTAGGAGACTGCAGTCAATAGTAGTAACATAGCAAAGGCAAAGAGCCTAGGGAAGGTTGGTTTGTGCAGAAGACCACTTTGGTTAATGGCTGAAAAGAAAAACATGGAAGGTGCAGGTCAGGAATTAAAGAAATATTTCATACCCAAACTTTTCTTATGCATTTATGGCTATTTTTGCATTCTGATAAGACACGCCTCATAACTGCAACAGGTTAGACTGCATGGAAGAGAAACTGATCAAGAAAGAAAATTGCTTGCAAACTTAAGAGGAATCTTTGAGCTCAGTGACCTGCAACATTTGCTATGCCTCCCAACTGTCTTTCCTCCCAGGGCTCCTCATAATCATTTGTTTCAATCCACTTGGACAAGGCATTCTGTTCTCAGAATAAGAACAAACTCTCCTTACCTCTGCATTTGCTAAAATATAACAATCTACCAAACAATTCAGGGCAAATTGAACGTAGATTGCACAACTTACATGATACAAGCAACCAGCAACCTTGATTTATAAATATGTATGCATCTGTTTGCTCTATCCTGCAAACTTATGAAAAAAATCCTTAAAGCCAGAAACCACGCAATGCAATTTTTCATGCCACAGGGTTTTGCATTTTCTTTGGCTAGTCTACAAAAACAAAATCCAACTCACAAAATAATGCTAAATACATATATTTGTTGAATGAATGTGTTCTGGTGATGATAGATTTTTTATTCCCTTCATGTTTCTCTTTATCCTTATGAGGCAATATTTATATTGAACCCAGTTTTTATGCTTAGCTTCTAACTCTTGGAAAATAAAATGATTGAAACATATCTAGTCTCATCCAATAATGCTTTCACAATAAGGGTAAAAAGAGGCATCTGGGGCATCTGGGGATGATCCTAATAATGATGGGCAAAAGTTGCAATTTAAATGTCTTTCTGATTTACCTACTGGACTTAGAATGCCATATGAGGTTGGAGGAAGGGAATTGAGCTTCAGTCAGTCTTATATTACCTAATCTGTTAAATTCCCCACTATAGATGCTGGGGAAAATGGATACAAATAAAAATGATGGGTTTTTTTTTTCTGTTAAGCTGCATTTTATTTTGAAGGGGTGGTTTGAATATTTATTTTTTAAACTCACCATTCCAATTTTTTAAATCCACATGAATACAAATGGAATTCTCCCATTAAGTAACTGTTCAAAAGGTTAATTTGGATAATTTTCTCTCTTTTTTTTTTTTGGATATGTTTTCCAGAATAGGGATTTGGGCTATTGTTGGAGCACCTTTAAGTCCAATTAGCTGTTACAACAGCCAAAGCAAGGTACTGTAAGAAAGGGCTTCAGGGATTTGGACCCTATGTTTACCCATAATTATACTCAGTACCTTATTTGCCAATGCCCACCCCTACTCCAACAATCCACAGGTCTCAGGAAATAACTTTGGAAAGCAAATAGAAGCTTCTTTTAGCATAGAAAGCCACTTAAAATGGCTAGGACTTGGGCGAGGCTAGGGAAGCACTCTCTTTAGGCACAAAATATAAGGGGGTACCCCAAAACTCAGTAATGAAGAGAAATACTTAATACACCATTGTAAAGATGTAAATTAATGTAAGAGTCCATGACTAAAAAATATCAAATTTTTAAATGACAGGATTCTACCTTACACTTAACATAGTTCACCTCAATCGCTTAAGTGTAATCTCTCGAGTTTTGGGCACATCCTTAAATTTTGCTCCAGAGGTGAGTGCCTTAACCCACCTTATCCTAGTCAAGACTTCAGTTCTAAACAGTTTCATATGTGAACCTCCCTTTAGATTTAAAATCCATTGTACCAGCATATTCCCTCTGGAGAGCCTCTGTTAGTACAAACCTCATGCAGGGTCCCACTGAATTCTTGGTGGACTCCCAGCAAGTGGGATAAGGGTTATTTAGCGGATGTCCCTACCTGCAGGCACTTCCAGCTCTTCCAGCTCCCAGTTTTGGTGCTACTCTCTACTTGCAGGAGACGGGCAACTTTGGCAACTTCCTTGTGCCAGGGCCACAGTTCTGCTTTGGCGGAAAGTACCCAAAACCAGAAAAAAATATCTTCACTCTTTTCTACTTTCTGAATGAGCGCTCTCCATTTAGTTCATCTCCATCCTCCTGCCAGAGTTAGAATGGAAAGACGAGACTACACGCAACCAGGTCTCAAAAGCACTCCCCTCCCCGCCCTGCCCGGGGAAGAAGTAAAAGTGGACGGTTTCGGAAGCTGTAGAGAAAGCAAACTGCGGTGGCTTTCGCCTGTCATTACAACATAAGTGAAGGAAAATGATCAAGACAACTCGGGCTTTCTGGCCCGTTTTATGCTTGAACACTTTGGCGTTTTCAAAGTCCGCGTGCTCCTATACCCCAACAGCGGTCAGAGCTGGGAGCGTACGAGGGCTTCAGGCAAGTCCGTGCACCACGCCCCCTAGGCTGGTCACCTCCCTTTATTGGCCTGATAGCCTGTCACTCCAATCTGGCTCCCACTCCAGCTAACCATTCACGTAGTTCGGTTGCGTCTTGGTGTGTTTAATATTGCCAATAACGAGAGATTTTTTTTTTGGGAGGGGGGAGGCGAGTACAGGTCGTGCTGCAATTAGTTCATTGAAAACTCAGTTGCTCTCGGAGCAGAGGAGCAGACTGCTTTCAGCTTTTCTTCTGCTCACTGGTAAAATCTTCTGTGGAGAGCTGCAACAATGCCCAAAAGAAAGGTAAGTGAAATGGGAAGATATAAGGGGGATTGGCTACTGAAATACATATTTCCTAGCCAGCAGAGATTTTTTTTTAAAAAAGGATTTTGACTTCTAGTTCGATTTTGTGATGTGCGGAATGGAAGGGGAGGGAAGGGCAAAGAACGGTCGGCGTAAGGTTTAGGATGGTCTCGCATGCAACTAGTAGTTCACTTTTGACTTGTTTTGTTTAAGGCAAAGAATCGCTTATGAGGTGTCTCCATGCTGAATTACAAACAGCCATAGCGCTGTGCTGTCGCTTCCTACCCCACCCCCCTTCCTCCGCTTACCCTATTGGAGAACACTTCTCCCAACCGCACTTCCAGGCACCAGTTTCCTCCTCAGCCTCCGTCTTTTCTCCGGGAACCGTCCCGTTTGGGAGTACGAAAGCCGTGGCTTTCTCCCATATTTGCCTTTGTTCTTCCCGTTTTCTTTTTCCTTTTTTCCCCTTCCCTCCTCCACTTCTTGTCATGCCAGATGGCTATGCAATGGTAATCCTGTGCCATTAGGCGGCGCAGACTTCAAACTGTCCTAGAGAAGGGAGAGATTCACCGCTGTAATTAACAACTTTAGGGCTGAGAGCGCTGGGGCTCTCCAAGCTCTCCGTCTCAAGGTGGAAAGAAACAAGAACTAAAGTAGTTAAAGTGTTGTTCGTGTTGGCATAGCGACATGCACAAGTGATCTGAGCTCCTCAAGGGCTACAGGTCTCCCGAAAACCCTCACTTCAAAATTCGTGGCTCCTCTCTTGGACAGGGAAATAAATTCACGCTAGGTGTTTGTTTTGGGAGGAAGGGTCCCTTAGAAGTGAAATTGAACGCAGTTTCATGCTTGATCAAATTGTAAAACGCGGTGCTAATGCAAGGCATTATGATTGTTTTGATATGATTCTTATCTATCTACCTTCCCTATTTCTATAGCATAGGAATAAGATTGAAATTCCCCGGGGTGCTGGGACTGTACTATGAATCCTGCAATGGTTTCATAATTCCCAGGCTAGAGCGCTGCTCATACACGGGAAGCAATGGTTTCTAATCACCATCCCCCTTTCTGAGATTCCCGCCGTTGCACTTTTCTAGGCTTGTGCAATGTGCCTTGCTATTTTGCAGAGCTGACAGCAACCTTGTAGCAGGTAGTGGCGGGAAGTTTTAAAAATGCGGCTGGCTCCTCAGAATAACGCATTGACGTTGTAACAAAGAGATTCCCCCCTTCAGAGCATTGTGGGGGTTGTAGTTCTTGTGTTAAGAACTTGGAGGGTAGGATAGTCCAGAGTAATTAGAGAGATTCAGATAAATACAATTGCATCTCAAACATAAGGCAAAACAGGGAAATGGCATGAAGCCCCGCCTTCATTCTGCCCGCTCCCACAGTTTTCTTTGGGGCTTTAACACTAGCAACAACAGGTGGATCTTAAAATTTAAAAGGTTTGTTTTTTTCAGGAGATGCAAAGTACACAAAAGGATGAAATTGATTATCATTTGTGTAAACTTAATGTCTTGTGAATACATTTGCATCTCGGTGCACATTTGCACAGTAGTAGACAGCAGTATGTAGCGTGCTACTAGGAAATAATGTGCAGCTACTTGAACGGGAATCTGGGAAAAAGTCCTAAGTGGTTATGTTGCAACTGTAATCCATAAGCATTATTTTCTCATCTATATGTTTATATCGATTATCTTATTTCTGTATGGTTTTCTCCTCTGTATAGGCTGCAGGTCAAGGTGATATGAAGCAGGAGGTGAGTTTCCTTAGTTTTAGAACCTGTCCAAAAATCCACTCCTTTTTAAAACTTGAGGGTCATAAAAGCAGCTAAATATAGATGCTGGTTAGTATATTTCACCACTTGAGTGCCAATATATATGTCAGTGAGCTCTCTCAAAAATATAGTATGTATTGAAAACTCCAAACTTCTTGGAATTTAGGACCTTATTGATCTTGATAAGATCTGAATGGATCTTCTTCCTTTTAAGCAAAAGAATTGCTTTGTCAGTTTACAAGAAGGGGCTATATTGGATTTCTAAATATGTTCCTTGTTACTAGTGATTTTGTTCATTTAGCCTAGCAACTGAAGTTTTAATTTCAGATTTTTTTCTTAGTTACATAGAGTCCAGAGGAGGGAGAAATCAAAACTTATTTCTACTATGACACTTTATAATCAAGTTCATAATTGCTTTTGTAGTGTAAATAATTGCATATTTATGTAGTGTTACACTAAGTATTTTCATTGAAATATAAATAATTCTAGTATTGTGTATCCATAATTCTCTGAACTGATAATATATTTTTTTCCACATATAGCCAAGGAGAAGATCAGCCAGACTGTCTGCTGTAAGTAGTCTTTTTAAAAAATCTGCCCATGTATTGTGAAATAGAATTTTAAAATTTAGGTAATCCTGGACAATTCTATATTTACAAGATTTGTTTTTAAGGAAAAACTCTGACATGAAGGAAATGTTTTCCTGGTGTTCAGCTTGAACTATACCTACCTGTTTTTATTAAGAGGTTGAATGTTGTTAGTGATCTTTAATTCTGACTTCTTCCTTTCCCCCCATCTTGACTCATGTTTCTTTGTTTGTTTGTTTATTCATTTTTGTTTTGTTTTTTTAATGCAGATGCCTGTGCCCATTATACCAGAGTTGAAGCCCAAAAGATCAACTCCAAGAGTAAATATTCAACATGCAATGTTGAGAGAAAATCGCTTTTGTTAAAAAAATTTTTTTGGAAAAGCATACAGATGACCATTTTTTAAATTTTCTGTTCACTTAGTAATATATTACATTATACCATTTGGTACATGTAATCTGTTTGAGTAAAGGAATATTTGTTCATGTTCTGTGATTGTCCACTGTATTTTGGCCTTTTCATTAGGAAGAGACAAAATTTTAATTGGATAGACCTGTAAAATGTACATTCCTTTGATATCATATAGTCACAATACTCATATTCCTAGAAAAACAAAGGGTATAAACTATAGTAACCAAGGCGATACTTTCTGATAATTGTAATAACTAATATATTTGATACTTTACAATTTGCAATGTGCTTTCACATACATTATTTTAAATGGACTCAATTGATTTCATATAGGCTTCTATGCTCTGATGTTGTGGCTAAAGACATTGGAAATAGAAATAGCCTCAATATTAGTTCATTTTATACTTTTTTGTTTATTTATATGCAAATGTGTAAATATAATTCAGTTTCATTTTAAGTGATTTATTGAGGTATGATTTATGTTTTCAGGATTGATTGAATTATTAAATCATAAAAGTTTAAAGCTATGAGAATATTAGAGTCATGTAATCCCATTGTTTTGTAGTTGAAGAAAATACATTATAGTCTTATTTGTAAAATGCTTTGAAATTCTTGATTAAAAGATACTGATAAAACTAGGGCAAATGAAGTCTTAATAATAAGAGTAAGTGACAATAGAAGAGAAAGTTTATTTTTTTCTCTATTTCACATTTCAAGATCACTATTGTATAAAATTAGGTACTCAATTTATAGGTTATAAAAATAGTAAATACTTTGTTTCCTTTAAAAATAGAAGATATTGCTAAAATAAAACAGATGCTATATAATTGTGGACTTCAAAATACTACGTACCTAGCCCTGGCTGGTGTGGCTCAGTGGAGTGAGTGCCAACCTGGGAACCAAAGGGTGGACAGTTTGATTTCCAATCAGGGCACATGCTTGTGGGCCAGGTCCCCACAAGGGGACCCAGTAGGGGGCACATGAAAGGCAACCACACATTGATATTTTTCTCCTTCTCTTTCTTCCTCCTTTCCCCTCTCTCTCAAAATAAATAAAATCTTTAAAAAATAATAAAATGTTACCTGTCTATATTGCATTTAACAGTTTCTAAAGCAGTTTTACATATATTTTATCATTTGCTCCTTATAACATCCCTGTGACATAGATGGCATTACTTTCTTTTATATATGAATGGATAAGCTCAAAGGGAATTATGCTTTTGCTCAAGATCACATAAAGCAAGCAGCAGATGCAAATGTCACAGATTTTCTGGGCCCTTAACCCAGTGCTCTTTCCACTACATACATACTTAGGCAAAAATCTTTCTTAATAAAAAAACAATCATGATTCAAGTCATTCTAAAACTTGTAGACACATAGATTTAATCAACTATGCCCCAGGTGATCTCTTTGAAATATATGTAAATTGATAATCTCTCTAGTATTTCTCTTAATTATTATCAATGAAGGATTTGTAATCAACAAAACCCTGTGGCTAATTATTAGACATGACAGAGATAAACTAGCCCCTCTAGTCAAAGGCAATTCATTTATCAGTCTAACCTAATGCTGGCAGTTGGCCCTGAGTGACCACTGTTCAGCATTCTAACTTGTTGCTGCTCATCTGAAAGAAAATTTGTTTAATTTGTATCAGAAGAACATTATTCATTTTTAATATATATGAAGAGATTTCTTTTTAATTTTAGGTTTTCAATTATAGTTGACATTCAATATTATGTTAGTTTTAGGTATACAGCATAGTAGTTAGACATTTATATAATTTATGAAGTGATCTCATTAAGTCTAGTACCCACCCCCCATAGCATACATAGTTATTATAATATTATTGACTATATTCTCTATGCTATACTTTATATTCCATTAATGTTTTGTAACTGTCATTTTGTACTTCTTAACCCCTTCACCTTTTTTACCCAACACCCCAAACCCCTCTCTTTTAATGCTACATCAGTTTACAATGAAAGTGAAGGTCTCTAGTGATAATTCGGTTGCTTCAAAGGTTTTACAAGTATTCTAAAGCTTTTTCATAAATTATTACAACATCTGGTAAAATATTTTGGGGCATTTAATCAATACACCAGTTAAATTGTATATTTATTTTTATTATTTTGTGTTGCTGGACAGAGAATGAAAAAAGATGATATGATGGAAACAACTGCAAGTGCAAGTCCCCAAAACATAGCTGAAACCAAGCAAGAAGTTGTTAAAGAACACAGCAACGAAAATGCTGAAAATGGAGGAGCCAAAATTATAGAGGTATTTACAACATTAACAGATTTGTCCATTTGAAAGTTTAACAATTGGTGCAACTGGTTGAAATCTTATTTGCCTTGTAGTTTAAAAGTTGAGACAGACACATTTATTTAGTAGTGATTCTATCATGTCTTAGTATTTTCAGGCTGCTATAACAAAATACCACAAATTGGGTGGTTTACAAACAACAGAAACTTATTTCTGAGTCTGGAGGCTTGGAAGTTCAAGATCAAGGCTACAGTATTTTTTGTGTCTGGTGAGGATTTGCTTCCTGATTTATAGATGGCAATCCTCTCTGTGTCCTGACATAATGGAAAGGTCAGAGAGCTCTGTCCTTTGTAAAGACACTAATTCCATTCATGACACCTAACTCATAACCTAAACACCTCCCATAAAACCTACCTCCAAACACTATCACATGGGGGATTAGATTTCATCATATGAATTTGGGAGGACACAAACATTCAATCTATAACACAGAGTATAATGGTATCTAAAGGGAAAATAAAGAAAATGAAAATTAATTTAAATATGAGATTTACATGTATGGGTAGTAGGAGCAATGGCTTAGTATAGGATTGCTATTAATAGAACAACACCAGTGATAATGATTTAGTAATATAATGACTCTCTTATTAAATATAGACTAAAAGGAATAGACTATCTATTCCTTTTGTCAGGACATGGGTTATTTGTAAATCCTTTTCCCAGATCATGATTATTTGCGCCCCCCTGCAGATTACAGAACAAAATATTATGTAAATGTTTTCAATAGGTCTTGCTTTGCATATGTAATGCATAGCACATTTTTAGGCTTTATAGTAAAACACTGAAAATGGGATAAAGTCTCAAATCTACAAACTAAACCTGTACATATAGGGAAAATCTTTTTCCAAGTGATCCTATAATATATGGCAAAAACATTTTAAGTAACTTTTTACAAAAAAACTTAAATCTTACCATTATAGAAACAAAACATAATATTTCTTCAAGGAATGCAGTTTTTTTACATGTATGCTACTCATTGAGAATTGCTGATTGATATAGAATATGTCATTTTTTCTGTACTTACTTTTTCATATTTTTATAAGGATTATTTATATGAATTAAATTTCCCTGAAGTTATTGTGCCAAATTCTGTTTGTGTGGAGGTATTTTAATTAATCCTATTTCTTAGAATGTTTTCCTTTTGATGTGATATTTAGGAGGCCTTTTCCACAAAAAAAGTTACTTTTTTTGTATGAAGTGTTGTTACTTCATAAAATATATATAATCTTGTCTAAATATTTAGGGGGGATTCTGAATTTAAAAATACAATCATGATTTTTCCCCTCTACATATAGGCTCCAGCTCTTGAAAAAGAATTTGAGGAAATGAAAGAAGAAAAAATTGATGTTGAAGAAGACGGAGGAGAAAAGGGACAAGCAGTGGCATCAGAAGAAAAGAAAAATGAAAAAGAAGATCAGAAAGGAGATGGAGAAGAAGAAGAGAAAGGAGAAGATGGAAAAGAAGACAAAGATGAAAATGAGGGAAAAAGTGAAAAAGAGGATGAAGATGGGAAAAAGGAAGAAGGAGATGGAAAAGGAGAAGAAGACCAAAATGAGGACGGAGATGGAAAAGGGAAAGGAGATGAAAAAGAGAGTGAAGATGAAAAGGGGAAAGAAAAAGATGGCAAAGAATCTGGGGATGAAAAAGATAAAGGAGAAGATGAAAAAGAAGGAGAAGACAAAAAAGAGGAAGACGATGGAGAAGATGATGAAGATGAAAAAGATGATGAAGATGGGAAAGAGGACGAAGATGAAAAGGAGGATGAAGATGGAAAAGAGGATGAAGATGGAGAGGATGACAATAGAGAGGATGGAGACAAAAAAGATGTTGAAGATGGAAATGAGATAGATGGAAAAGAGAAAGGAGAAGATGGCAAAGACGACAAAGATGGAGAGGAGGAAGAAGGAAAAGAGGAGGAAGATGGAAAAGGAGATGGGAAAGGTGAAAGGCATGGAAAGGAAAATGAAAATAAGGCTGAAGTTGAAAAAGAAGAGGTCAAAAAAGAAGATGGAGAGAAAGAAGCCCCTCAGAGTATTGTTTAAAGCTGCCCTATGTAGTTTCATAATTTGGTAATATGTGCCTATGTGTTGTAATGTTAATAGAGGTAAATATTTTTATCAAATGTTTTATAAGCAGTTTTTCTTTAGCATTAACTAAATTTCATTATATCTTCACACTGATCATTAGCCACATTTCCTAACATGAAACCTTTGTAAGTTTTGTGATTATAATAGTGAAATATTTAGAAAAAGACACTTTCAGCTTTGTCAGTAAATTTCCTTTTGTGTAAGTTATGTGTTAAATCTTTGAACTTCAATTTTACTCCTGTATGTGATAATTTCGTAATGTGCAGAGATCTGAAAAGAAAAAATCATGCGTGGTTCTCTAGGTTGCTTTTATAAAGGTGAAATATTTTCATGTAATGCTAAGGAGTTAGAATTATCTTTTCCAACTGTGTCTTATTCATTCCAGAAGGGCAGTTCTGACTATATGTGTATCCACAAAACTTTACTGTTTATCTTAATAAAAATTCTCTTCAAAGATGATTGTAGTTTGTTATATGTCCAAAATATAGTTAATAAAATATTATGATGCTTGACATCTTTCTATTGTGATGTTCATGAAATCATTTAAAATTTTGTTTGCACTTGGATAAAATTAACAACAAAATTTAAAGCCCTGGCTGGCGTAGCTCAGTGGATTGAGCATGGGCTGGGAACCAAAGTGTCCCAGGTTCGATTCCCAGCCAGGGTACATTCCTGGGTTGCAGGCCATGACCCCCAGCAACCGCACATTGATGTTTCTCTCTCTTTCTCTCTCTCCCTCCCTTCCCTCCCTAAAAATAAATAAATAAAATCTTTAAAAAAACAACAAAATTTATTATTTTAATTATTTCAAAGTGTACAAATCAGTGGTTTTAAGTATATTCACAGTATTGTACAATGATCACCACCAATTCCAGACAACTCCACATCCACTGGTCCTTGGCAACCATTAATTTATTTCTGTCTCTATGGATTTGCCTATTCTGGGTACTACATATAAATGGAATCTCGGAACATGTGCCATTTTTACCTGACTTCTTTCACTGGGCATAGTGTTTTCAGTTTCATTCCCATTGTAGCATATATTATTACTTCATTCCTTTTTATAGCTAATATTATATTGAACCAAAATACTACATTGTTAGTTAGTTAGTTAGTTGGTTGTTTCCATGTTTTGTAAATTATGAATAATACTTCTATGAACATTCATATGCAAGTTTTTGTGGGCATATGTGTTTTCATTTCTCATGTGTATGTATCTAGAAGTGGACCACTGGTTCATATAGTAATCCTGTGTTTAACTTTTTGAGGAATCCCAGAATATTATCCAAAGTGGCTTCAGCATTTTATATTCTCACCAGCAATGTATGAGGGTTCTAATTTTCCTACAACTTTGTCAATACTTGTTATTGTCTGTGTTTGCATTATAATCATCCTAGTGGGGGATTTAGGGGTGATCAAAATCATGGTGATTTTGATTAGCTTTTTCCTAATGAAGTTAAGCATCTTCTCTTGTGCTTATTAGCCATTTGTATATCTTTTTTTGGAGAAAAATCTAACAAAGTCTTTGCTCATTTTTTATTTGGGTTTTAGTATTAAGTTGTAAGACATACATTTTGGATATAAGTCTCTTACTAGATATAATGATTTGCAATTTTTCCCCAATTTATAGATTGTCTTTTCACTTTTTAAAAAAGTATATTTTATTTTTAGAGAAGGGGAGGGAGGGAGAAAGAAGAGAGAAACATCAATGTGTGGTTGCCTCTCACACACACCCTACTGGGGACCTGGCCCAAAACTCAGGCATGTGCCCTGACTGGGAATTGAACTGATGACCCTTAAGTTCACAGGCCAGTGCCCAATCCACTGAGCCACACCATCCAGGGCTCTTCACATTCTTGATTGTGTTCTCTGATGCACAAAAGTTTTAATTTTAAGTCCAATTTATCTACTCTTTCATATGTTGCTTGTGTTTTTGGTGGCATGTCAAAGAATCTGCTACCAATCCCCAGGGCACAAAGATGTTCACCCATAAAAAGAGTGTCACTTACAGTTTTATCTCTTACATTTAGGTTTTTTATATGTCTTTTGTTAAATTCTGCATATGATGAACAACTTCATTCATTTGCATATGACTATCCATTTCCCAAAGCACCATGTCTTGAAAAGATTATTTCCTCATTGGATGGTCTTGGAACTCCAAAAATCAATGGACCACAGATGTATGGATTAATTTCTAGACTGTTATTTCTATACTGTTGATCTATATACATATTTCTATGTCAGTACCACACCTTTGATTCCTGCCTTTTAAAAAAAGATTTTATTCATTTATTTTTTAGACAGGGGAAGGGAGTAACAAAGAGGGAGAGACACATCAATGTGTGGTTGCCTCTAACATGCCCCCTACTGGGAACCTGGCCTGCAACCCAGGCATGTGCCCTAATTGCAATCAAATCAGGGGCCCTTTGTTTCACAGGCCAGCGCTCAATCTACTGAGCTACAACAGCCAGGGCATATTATAGTTAGTCTTAACATTAAAGTATATATCCTCCAACTTTGATCGCTCAGGTTCCATTATATTTTTATATGAGCTTTACTATCATCTTGTTAATTTCTACCAAAAAATGGCAGTTAAAGTTTTGATAGGGACCACAAGAAGTATGCAGATACATTTGGGGTACATTGCCATATTAGCAAAATTTTCTTCCAATCTATGAACATGGGATAGAGTTCCATTTATTTAGGTTTTCTTTACTTTGTTTAAGGACTATCTTATAGTTCTTAGTGTGCAAGACTTATACTTTTTTGTTTATTATTCTTCAATTACGGTTGTCTCCATTTTACACCACCCTCACTCCCCACCCCACCTACCCCCCATTGGCTTTGTCCATGGGTCCTTTATACATGTTTCTTGATGACCCTTTCCCTTCCTTACCCCATTATCCCCCTCCCTTCTCCCCTCTGGTTACTATCTGTTCCTTATTTTGGTGACTCTGGCTCTATTTTGCTTGCTTGTTTTGTTGATAAGGTTCACCTTATAGGTGAGAACAAATGGTATTTGTCTTTCACTGCCTCACTTATTTCACTTAGCATGATGTCTCTCAAACCTATCCATGCTATTGCAAAAGGTAGGAGCTCGTTCCTTCTTTCTGCTGTGTAGTATTCCATTGTGGAAGTGTACCATAGTTTGTTTTTTCTTTTTATTTATTTATTTTTTATTTTTTGTGGTCATTCAGATATTTTATTAATATTTCCAGAAAGCATCTGATAAAGCACAGTAACTCTTTTTCTAGTTTATCTCTAATATCAGAATCTCTTTTTAAATTTTTAATTGTTGTTCAAGTACAGTTTTCTGCCTCTTACTCCCATCCCAGCCTAACCTGCAGCCATTCCCACCACCCTCCCATTTCTACCCCCTCATAGTTTTTGTCCATGTGTCTTTTATACTTGTTCCTGCAAACCCTTCCTCTTTTCCCCTGAAATTCCCTCCCCTCTCCCCTCTGGTCACTGTCAGCCTGTCCTCTATTTCAGTGTCTTTGGTTATATTTTGCTTGTTGGTTTGTTTTGTTGTTTAGGTTCCTGTTAAAGGTGAGGTCATATGGTATTTGTCTTTCACTGCCTGGCTTATTTCACTTAGCATAATGCTTTCCAGCTCCATCCAAGCTGTTGCAAAGGGTAGGAGCTCCTTCTTTCTTTCTGCTGCAAAGAATTCCATTGTGTAAATGTACCATAGTTTTCTTATCCATTCATTTACCGATGGGCACCTAGGTTGCTTCCAGCACTTGGCTATTGTAAACTGTGCTTCTGTGAACATTGGGGTGCATAGGTTCTTTTGGATTGGTGTTTCAGGGTTCTTAGGATATAATCCTAGCAGTGGAATTGCTGGGTCAAAAGGCAGATCCATTTTTAGTTTTCTGAGGAAATTCCATACTATTTTCCACAATGGCTGCACCAGTCTGCAGTCCCACCAACAGTGCACTAGGATCCCCTTTTCTCCACAACCTCTCCAACACTTGTTGTTTGTTGCTTTGTTTATGATGGCCATTCTGACTGGTGTGAAGTGGTATCTCACTGTGGTTTTAATTTACATCTCTCTGATAGCTAGTGATACTGAGCATCTTTTCATGTGTCTCTGGATCCTCTGTATGTCCTCCTTGGAGAAGTGTCTGTTCAAGTTCTTTGCCCATTTTTTTAATTGTTTTTTTTTTGTGTGTGTGTGTGTGTGTGTCTTCCTGGAGTGGAATCGTGTGAGTTCTTAATATATTTTGGAGATCAAACCCTTTCTGAGGTATCACTGGCAAATGTGTTTTCCCATACAGTTGGTTCTCTTTTTATTTTAATACTGTTTACTTTAGCCATGCAGAAGCTTTTTATTTTGATGAGATCTCATTTGTTTATTCTTTCCTTTATGTCCCTTGCACTGGGGGACATATCAGTAAAAAAGTTGCTGCATGAAATATCTGAGATTTTTCTACCTATGTTCTCCTCTAGGACTTTAATGGTGTCATCGCTTATATTTAAGTCTTTTATCCACCTTGAATTTATTTTTGTATGGTGTAAGTTGGTGCTCGAGTTTCATTTTTTTTTTTTTGCATGTAACCATCCAGTTCTCCCAACACCATTTGTTGAAGAGGCTATTTTTACTCCATTTAATGTAGCTGCACCCTTTGTTGAATATTAATTGACTATAGAGACTTGGGTTTATTTCTGGGCTCTCTGTTCTGTTCCATTGGTCCATGTGCCTGTTTTAATGCTGGTACCAGGCTGTTTTGATTACAGTGGCCTTGTAATAAAGTTTGGTTTCAGGCGTTGTGATCCCTCCTACTTTACTCTTCTATTTCAAACTTGCAGAAGCTATTCGGGGTCATTTATAGTTCCATATAAAATTTCAAAGTGTCTGTTCTATGTCTGTGAAATATGCCATTGGTACTTTAATAGGTATTGCATTGAATATGTAAACTGCTTTGGGTAGTATGGACATTTTGATGATGTTA